ACACATAACATTACCACGGTTGATCAAAAATGATGATATATCTTTACTAATCACGGTGAAAGTGTCTTTTCGTAATAGCGAGACTTGCCTGAGATACTGTTCTACCAATGAATGAGGACAACTTCAAAATATATTGGATAGTCGTCTTAGAGTATGAAGAAAAATCTACTCTTGGTTTATAATCACCAATCTATAATGAGAAAAAGTAACCATCCTTTTTTTCCCAAAAAAACATTAGTTTTGATTTTTAATTGAAAAATAGCCTTTTCACTCTGGAGTTCAAGAAGAGTTATATATATTCTTTTTGTTTGTTGTAAATACTAATTTTTTATTATAATTATTATTGATGTTTATTCGATACTTTGCTCATTGTTGATTTAGTTGGACTTTGATATGGATATAAATATAGAAATTTGTTGGGTTTGTTGCGAAAAACCGACATAGAAAAAAAAATAAAAGAACACATTTATAATACAAAGACATAAAGTGGAAATTCTAAATTTAGATAAAAATTACAGCCGTTGTCAAATGATAACCATAGAATAATATTACTCCCTTCGTAATAAATTATAAGAAAATTTAAATTTTTTGTACATTTGATAATTAATGTATATAGTTCATATATGGATTAGAAAAATTAATGGTCAAATATACCTAAAATGTCAAAAAAAATTTATAATTTATTACGAAGGGAATATGTGAAAATTGTTACAACACATAATTTTCTCTCAATTACCTTAAGAGACCCAATACACTCACACCCTCCAAAGAATTTTTTTAACTACATTTCACAATACTCTAACACAAAAGTATAAGAGAACAAAACAATTCAAATATAAATATAAAGTTCTTTTGACCGATGCCTCTTGTAATGAAGAACTTGAATCCTTTATATAGTTTTGAACTCCCTCTTCCTTTACAAAACTAAACGATGTGAGACTTCTTTGACATTTGTATTTTTAACCAACCCCAACAATCTTCATCTTTCATTGTCTTCGCCAACAATCATACTTCACCATAAATATTATAGTTACTTGAAATTACACCACTTCAAGAATTTTCATATTGTCTTCACCGACAATCATACTTAAAAATTATGATACTCCACCATGAAGAATATGTTTCACTTGAAGTTAAACCACTTCAAGAATTTCAAATTAGCATCACTAACAATCATATTCTCTATAATAAATAACATATTTCACTTAAAGTTAAACAACTCCAATAATTTCACATGTCAAAAATAAGGTAGAAAATTTATGGGGCCACTTCTGTGTTGGTGGGAAGCTCTTCAACCACCAACATAATATCATTGTACACCATACATATTTCAATCAAAACTCGTGAGCTAACAATTAACCAACAACTTATGTAATCTTGATTGTAACATATCTTTGACTTGAACTTTTCATAGGTGAAAAACAATTCTTTCATCAATTTTCTCTATCCCTAACTGCACAACTAAACTTGTGACTACATGTAAACAATTCTTTTTCAACACTACCCATCTATTATGATGTGGAAGATCAGACAAGGCTGCAACGACATAGCATACTAATGATTCCTAAACTCAGATCAAACCAAAAGCTATAATATCAGTTGTTGGGAAAAGCAAACATAAAGAAAACAAAAAAAAAACACAATCACAACACAAGGACATAACGTGAAAACTCTAAAACTGGAGAAAAACAACAATCATTATCAAATGACTATCAGAGAATAACACTATGTGAAAATTGTCATAACACATAATTTATCGTCAACCACCCAAGGTCCCCGATACACAAGAGTATAAGAGAAAAAAAAGTCAAATACAAGCTTAAAGTGATTTTGACTAGTGCATCTTGTAATGAAGAATTTAAATATTATATATAGCCTTGCAATCCCTCTTTGTTTATAAAATTAAACGATGTGTGATTTCTTCAATATATATATTTTTAACCAAATCAAATAGGATTGTTGCGGGAGCATGATAACTTTAAAAGATTTTATGAGAAATTTTGGTGTTGTTGCATAATTTTTGTTAGGTAATGATCATGAATTCATATAGGATAAAGTTTTCAAATGAATATCATAACATTGTTAAGGTGTTGAGTTATATGTTAAATCTAATGGTTTATACTCTATTACAAATATTTTTTTTTACTAAGTATTCACTTCAACAAATTAAAAAACAATGTCAAATGCCCTGGAATGTTCAATTTTTTATTATTTAAATCTTATCCCTCAGTTTTTATGCAAACAGGCAGAAAATGTAGCTCAAGATTTGAGTTTCGATTCCTAACTCCTACTATTTAATGTTTTATTTAAAGCCAAAATCACGCCCTTATTGTATTAAATTATTAATTAAAACATAAATCATATATTCCCTCTGTGTTTAACCAACCAATATGAAATGTTGCTTATTATCTTATTTAATTAAAATAAACGCAGAATCAATTTTTATATTACCTCGATTCTTTTACCTTGGTGTTTGCTAGCAACCGAGATGTAAACTCAAAATAATATTATATTCCAACATCAAAATGTTAACTCTCATTCACTTTTTATACCCAAACAATATTCTTCATCTTCTCCACTTAACAGACAAAACACCTTTATTCATCTTTTCCGCCTAACTAACTGAAACAAAATTCTTCATACTCTCCATGTGAACAAAGTGAACAAAGGAGGAAGGAAGCTTGAACTTTAAACCAACACATTTCAATGACTCTCTCGTCATGTTTCATGTATGTAAAACTTTCTCCATTACTATTGTTTACCCTAAAATTTGGTAAACAACTGCTAGTACTTCAAAACAAAGATAATTTCTGATTACTCGCAGGATTGACTAGATTGATCCTAGGACATGTTCAAATATTATTTTGTTTTAATATTTTTAAGTATTTGTTCTATGTCGAAAAGATAAATATGAAAAAGATAAAAGTAAAACTGGAATATAAAGAGTTCGACTAAAAACTTTAAATGAAAAGTAAAAGACTTGGTTTAAATGTAAATGACTTTGAATATAAATTGGTGTTTCAATACGTAGATTCTCAATGAATCTTTTCTCTAGCACTGATAGTTCGAGTTTGTATGAGTAATTTGTACAAAAGTGAACACATTTATTCCTAACGGTCTTTCTCTAAAAAGTGCCACGTTCGAGTCTTGCACGCTTCTTTGAATTATCAGGCTTCCACGCGTCCTTTTGGATAAGATTAAACCATTTGAATTCAAATCCTTCTCCAATTAGAAGAGTCAAAACAACAACATGACGTGTTGAAACAATTCAAATTTGAATCTTCAGATTTCCTTAAGTAACATGTATTCTGCAACAGTAGAAATTTTGAGATTTATTTAACATAACAAAATTATCCATAGTTTGGTTAATCAAACACCATATGAAAGATTCTCATATTCTATTCCAAAGCTAAACTTCTTTGGATTTCTTGATTTTCCTGAATGTTATATGTCGTAGAAATTCTCAACTAATAAATTGTCCTCCAAAAATGTGTATTTCAAAACACTTGAAGAAATAAACATTTTTTGGAAAACCATCCATTTCGATGAAAAATTTGCTCCATGATGGCTATTACTATTGTGACATCATAGTCATAATGACCATATTTCCAAAGGTCCCGTTGAGACATGCACAATTCGGTTTCCATCATTGCCATACTAAAGTAGATTTAAAACATAGTTTCCCCAAAAAGCAACCACCTGGCCATCTTATTAAATACTAACATATGTCCCACTATCTCTTTCATTTGAGAAAATGGAAATGAACCATTTTTTCACTATAAATACTCCTTTCATCTTCAAAAACACTTTTCTGCTCTCATTTGTTCTTATCTCCTCAGAAAAACTGTGAACTTCTCTCATCTTCTTCCTTCGAAAATCAATGTTCACCTTCAAGCTTTTTCATCAATGGCTCCCACAAAGAAGAGAAACAAATCTGGAAAAGACGTAAAGAACACTAAGGATGCTGCTTTCGCTTCTATTCAACATGTCACCAAACCCATTCCTTATGGAAATTAATAATTTTTCCAACGCTAACACTTGTTGTTGAATAACAAGCCATCTACGCGTCTAAGGTAATAATTCCTTTCACTCTTGCTGAGAAAATCCTAAGATACATGGGACCTATAGTCCATGCTAATGATCTGAAAAGACTTAGAGAATTTTCCCCCCATATCATGGAACCAAACCCACAACGAGTAAGACTAGCTCCCAAAAGAATGTAGATGAAATTGCTGACAAAAACCTTAAGGAATCCACTGTAGAAAGTTTTCAAGAATCCCCTTCAGGTTTTGCAAATGTTGAAAAACCTTTTCATCTGAATTATATGATTGGTTCTTTTAGGCCCTTTAGTCACGCCCAACGAAAGATAGTAAATAATATCTCGAGTGGCTAGTTAAAGTCTGTAATACCCCGAATTTCTCCTACCCCTTTATAAGGATCTTTTGGCTTAACTCGCACTTTTCTCATGTACATAACTTCCATTAGGTCATTTTGCATGTCATGCATCATTGGTCAATAATTTGGCATGGGATCGATGATATTGTGGAATTAGGGTTGTTGTATTACTTTAAGGTTCTAATCTTCGTGCAAGGTTTAATTGGGTTCCTCATCAATTATGGTTGGAAGCTATGTTTTTAGGATCATAGTTACCATAGAATTTTTCTTCATCAAGTTACCAGATCTCTTGGATCATGGAGTAGAGTTTATTTCTCTTCATGGGTTTTCTTTCTCAACATTTGGTTTTACTATTATTTGAGGTTTGGTTCATAATTGTTCGGGTCACAAGTTATTGACTTGGAGCTTTGTTGCAAGACCTAAGGAGGACATGGTGTACTATTGGACCGTGCAAGATTGGAATGGATATTGTCGAGACTTTGGCGAAAATCCTTATCAATTTTATTGTTGGTTATCATGTTATATGATACTTGCTCAAGATTCAAACAGAATGATAGAGTGCATATGGATATCAATTTGACAACATTATCCAAAGTTTCGTTCAAATGTTAGGCAAAGTTCATAAGCATTTTCATGGAATCGAAGAAGATAATCTTCATTCAATACTATTTCAAAGATTTATTACATCCATCCAAAATTCAACAATCAAAAGACATTATATAGTGATATTATGGCATCATTCTAGGAATAAAGATTCTGATCAAAATTTTCACCGAAGTCCACGTGAATGTCTTGGCTTTCATCTTGTCTTATAATTTGAGAAAGATTCAAGATGCTATAAGGGTTACAAAAGTGAAATGGAATTCAAAATTTGCTTCAAGTTCTTCTCACGACTAAGTCATCACAGCAAGATCCCTTCTTTAGGCATTCCTTTTCAGAATTGACAAGATTGTTTTCATAAACTTCCAAAAACTGCACAAATAGCTCTGCACATATTGAACAACACTAGTTCAAGTCAATAAAAAAACCAGCCAGCCTTGAATCATTTAGAAACAGAAATATTGTTAAACCAGAAAATCATTGAAGATGTAGAAAAAACCGCAAAACCACTTCCATTACCCTGTACAACAAATAAACCGCAGCCCTGTTCATGGAAGACGCTAGCAAATCAGAAATTCAGGCAACCGTAAGTTTAGAATTCAGAAAATTAGAAACAAATATTATGCCCTACACATAACAGAAAATCAATAAAGTAACAGAACTTCATACTATAACAGAAAAATAACTACCTGTAACTGAAACTAACATTTTTGCAACTGACTTCACAATAAAATTATATAATTGTTTTTAACAGAAAAAGTTCCTAGCCTATACCTCTAACCAACTGTCAAAACAGCATCTAACAGCTCAGAAACTAACTACTAACAGTTTCCAACCTTCCTAACTAACTCCTAACAGAAAATTGATAACCTCCTAACCCTCTAACAAAACTCCAACAGATTAGAACAGAAAAGGGATTCAACACATAGAAACATATTTGAAAAGAGAGGAGGGAGTTCGTACTTCATACAGAACAGAAAATTCACAGAAAAAGAAAAGAATCACCTTTCAACCTCGCTATCTCTGCATAATCTACAAAAATTCTTCATCTTCTTCAACCTCTTTCATTCCTTTTCAATCTCCTTATCTCAAAAAATCACCACGCAGAACACAAGTTTTTTTCCTTCTTCAAACACCTCTAACCCTCTCTACATGATTCTCTGCACCACTATTGTTCAATCTTGCACCATAACTGTATCAACCTTCATCAGCCGCATCATCAAGATCTTCAGCACCATAAATCTTCATCAACGAATCTTCAATGATCATTCATCAAGAATCTTCATTCGTGCTTCATCACAACAACACACATTTTCTGCATTCTTCACTGCAAATCGCATCACCATTTCTTCATAACGTACCATACAAACATAGAGGAAAAATCTTAGAGATTCATTCACAATTATTAAATCATAAAAGTCACACAGAATCCCTAGAAAAACTCACCAAAAATCTCAAGAACTCTATGAAATTCTCTGCCTCTTCTTCAAGTTTCTTCAACTGACACCATCAAACTTTCTCAACTTTCGCTTCATCAATATTCGATCACCTTCAAGAATTTCCTTTATCTCTGCACAATGAACTCAATATTAAACAACATTTTTGTGAATATCATCTTCATTCTCTACGCTCAACAACAACATTGATTGAATTCCGCAAGAAAACAATGCAATATTGTAGAAGAAGAAGAGAGAATCAAAGAAAAGAAGAAACATAAATACCTGAAACTGAGCCGATTCCTCTCTCTGTCTTCGTTGAGTTTCTATGAGGAGTGGATTCGAGGTTAGGGGAGCGGACTGAGTAGCATTTACAGCCTCGGATTTGGTTCAGGTTTAGCAACCTCCGTTCGTATCAGCCGACGAAGCGGTGGGTTTGCTTTAGGCTCAAAAACGCGACTGATAGGCGAAGATGAGAATGAGGCGGAGCTTGCGTCCGAGAGAGAGAAATTAGTTCATGTTGTTTACAGCGGGATTGAAAGCTATTGAAGGAAGACCGATGACAGTGGTATGGCGGCCGACGGTCTTTGTCTGAGCGGAGAAGAGAGAAGGTGAAGACCGGCACCGTGAAGAGGAGAAGAGAGTTCTCTGTTACGAAAATTTGAAGAGGCGCAATTCTTTGTAACCCTAACAAAGCCATCAAACACCTGCGTTTTGTGTTCCCTCTTCCTTTTTTTTAATTTTTCTTTTTAGTTTATTTTTATTTAATCTAAATAATAAGAACAAATGAAACTCAGAATTGGATATTGTTGATGATAGGTGGACCGGACTGGACTGTAGCCACTGAGCCCATCACAACTTCTTTTTTTTGGAGATAAATGACTTATGCGCCAAAATTTATCTGGATTATACATCTGGGCCTACATTGTTAACCACCACCTTGTATCATGTTTAGCACCCCTCTATTTGATGGTTTTGACTTCCTTTTAATAGTTTCTATTAACTTTCCTCTTCATTGATTTTTATAGCATAAAATTGTGATAAAAAGGTGATATAGAAATGGTAATGATTTTTCTTTAGGGTTTGTTTAGAAATTCTTTAGAATTTAATTATGTTATTATTGTTTAATAATCATTTGTTAATGATTTGGCAATCATCTTATGTTATTTCATTTTTATAATTTTGTGATGTAATGATTATTGCAATTATGTGTGATATTTGTAAGTAAAAGGGACTAGGTTGAAAAATTTCAAGAGGTTTTCGAAGTAAATTAAGAATGCAATCTTCATCAAGTAAATTCACAGAGGCTTTCTATAGAGTTTTCTCATTTCTTGCGTGGCTTTGTAGAGGCAACAGACCTTCTCCATTAGACATATTTTTTTTAGATTTTAATACCAATTTTGTGTGAGATTTTGGAATAAAAATATACTTGAAATTGAGAAGATTTTGGAGCGAACAAAGAGTGCAATTTTCATCAAGGAAGCTTTATGTAGAGTTTTCTCTTTGCTTGCGTGGTTTTGAAGAGGCAATGGACCTTCTCCGTTAGGTATCAATGCAAATTCATTTTATTCCTCATTTCCTCACTTCATCATACTTCTTTACCGCTTTTCTAGAGATTATGAGAAGTAGGTCTTTACTGCTTTCCTTTCCATGAGAAGTAGGGTAGAGATATATGAAGGAGGTCTCTGTTGCTGATAATGTCAAGAACCCCTCTAGTTTATTTAAAGATCCGTTTAGCGCAATTCCTTATTATTTTACATGGTGTGCTTCTTGTGAGTGGTTTGTTTAAAAATGTACCTTTGTTTAGGTATTTTACAGGTGGGTTTACATTTTTGCCCGTATTATTCCCATTCCTTATTGATGTCCTCAAAAGGAGGCGAGAAGGGAGGGTTAGTAATCAACCCCCGCAATTTCGTCAGTGTCATCCGTAGCTCGTGACGCTCCACGATGCTTCGGAGTTGTACCTTCTCTCGTGTATATAGTCGTCAAGTGGGGAAGGGTTTTGCAATTAAACCCCCACTGTGATACAGTGGCAGACCCGACTGTTAATACTAATTTGCGTTTTTTGTTCGCAAAATATGGCGGTAAGCAAGAGTCGCCACCGACTTTTATTTTATCCAATCAGGAAAAGGAAAAAGAACATAAAAAACCTTTTTCAAGATGTTTCTGAGTACGGGGGGTAGATTATAGAAAGGGAAGGTGTTAGCACCCTTCCTATTCGTAGTTTTCCATGGGCTCTTAGGTACTTTCTCATTTTGAAATTGCTTGTGTGTGCTTGTTTTGAAAAGTTTTGTTTTACTTCATTTTAACCCTTGTTTCTGTCCTCAAGAGTGTTACGAAGTTGTTTTTGAAAACTTTGTTTGAAAAGTGTTTGTGTGAAAAAGTTTGTTTATTTGAGCAAGTACTTAAGAGTTTTCTACCTACTCGAAAAAGACTATTCGTTTTCCTTTTAGACAATGCTATCACATTATTGAGAAATAGGTAGCATCGTCGTTGGAGTTTTTTTAGGAACATTCGAAAGGGACGTTATGGTCATTGAAGGCAACATGTAAGGATATCTTAGCATTTCAAAGGGACTGTCATCATATATTCGTAGGCAACATCGAGGGACCAGATCATTTCTCGTAGGCAACTCAAGGGATAGTAAGGGACCATGATCTTTTATGATGACTTTTATACCGAGGGTCTTTTCTAAGATATCCCTATGTTCGAGGGACATGACCATTGTTTTCCGAGGCAACCAAGTGAGGCATACCCTAAGGGTGCAAGTGTGCATCAGTGTTTGTTTTCAGATATTTATCTTGTAATTAAATGATTTATTTAATTGATTAAGCATACAAACCTAGGTTGCTAACAATTATATACCAGCATATATAATAAAAGCGAGAAAATAAAAGAGTCTTACGCTATTACAAGACCTCGGGAAGGGGGGTTACATAATCAAACCTGGGAGTAAAAAGTAAATAAAAGGCAGTAAAATAAACCCTAATTAAAAGCTATTACAAACTCGAAGAAGGTACAATAATTGGAAAAATAAATAAATAACTGCGCGCGAAGAATTAAGACGGGAATAAAGTTTAAGTCCTAAAAAATTTAATCAACTAAAGAGAAAATATTTTTGTATTTTTATTATTGAGAAAAATATTTGAAATCATAACCTAAATCTAATTAATTAAAGAAAAATAGTTTTTGGTATTTTATTGAGAAAATTAAATATTTGTGAATTAAACCTAATTTGTCTAATTAATTTTAATTATGAAAACAATCAAGTCAATATCATTAAATTAATTATTTTCCAAAAAAAACTAATTTTAATTAAAAAAACTAATTCTACATTTTTGTGGTTTTCTTGATTTTATGATTAAATAAAAAAATGATTTTTTTGTTATTTTGTAAAAAGAAATTAATCAAATAAAACAAAAGAAAATAAAGAAAGAAAGTAATTGGGTCTGTGGTGAAAGCAGATTAGGGGGTGTGGAATGGAATTGTTAAGCCCAGAATTATAGGCCCATTTGCCCACGTGGGGATTCAGTGCAACTGGCCTTCAGGAGGTCCACCACGCGCCTGTATGCTTGAGGCGTTAGATCTGGCCAGGACATGATCTGATGGCGTGGATTTGAGGATGCATGATGGCCCTTTTGAAGGTGAGGCTCGCTGGATCTGGGACAAAGAAATTGGAAAATATGAAAACGTGAGATTCTGGGATCGAACCCAGAACCCTTTGCTTCACGGCCTGTGCCTTTGCCATCTGTGCTGGGATGGATAGTTGTAATTATAATAACATAAATAAAATATAAAGGAAATAAAGTGGTCTTTCCCAAACGCGCGCGTGATTCAAATCACCCAATGGGATTCTGCCACCTAATTGTCTTCTTCCCCGTAACTGTTGCTTTTTGCCACACTTTTACCTACAGTCGTTTCCGTCACTAAAAGCTATATTGAGGATTTTGTTTGTAGCCATAAACCTGTAAAATTCAAAAACGCAGCACAAGCAGAATAAATTCAAACCAAAGACATGGATCAATTGAAAATCATCTTCTAAGCATGATAGTACCCCTGATTTTGTCCAATTTTGCTTCTATATGTAATTCCCAATTTGGGACCTCAAAACGCTAACAATGGCATTGTGCCATTCCTGCACTTAAACTTCAATCAAACCAATAAAAAACATTGCAAATATGATAGCAAGCATGGATATATGATCAAAACATGTTTATGATGGATAAATTATTGAAAACAAATCTTGAAAAAAAGACGCAAATCGTGGAACTGTGAGGCGTGATTTTTGAAGGTTTTAAGGCTGGAGGACAATTGGAATAACTTCAAGAAACGTCCAGGAACGAATTGCTAGCCTTGGAATTACTGGAATCAGTCTATGGAGGAATATGTGATTAGCACTTTTTTTTGACAAAAAATTGAAGTTGACCTCCTTGTTTTCACGACCCAAAAACCTCCCTTATGCTTTGGAAATGTTGTGTATATATCATAGAATGATTTAGGTCAACAAAAACTGATCATATCTTTGCAAATTATGGAGATTTGATTTCATTCTTTGCCTTGTATGATTTGTTTCCAAAATAGACCAAATTAAGGTCTTTTTCAATCAATTAGCTCTTGCACGAATTTTTTGATTTGCTAGCTGTTCATGGACTTATAATATGCTCATAAAATCAAATCTTTGATTATTCTACTATTTAAATTGATTTATTTTGATTTAAATGGATAAAAAATCAAAATAAATAATAAAAATAATAAAATAATAAAATAATAGGTGGATAAGCTCAGGAATCATGGGCCATCTTAGGAGCAAGTTTCAAACAAGAAAACATGGGCCCATTTGAAAAAAAAGTCATTTTTATCAATGTTGACTTCATGCATATTTCCAAAAATTAGTCAACTTTGACAATACATATCTCCCTCAATTTTAACCCTAAGAGTGTGTTCTTGGACTTTTTAGAAATCTTAGGATGTCCCCTATACAACCCTTTTGGTTTCATCTCAATTGGGGCTTCCATGTTCATGTAAGAAACTTTGACCCAAAAGGTGTTTTTGTTGACTTTTCGAAAGGACCTAGGATGTAGAAATTCATATCTTTTATGAGTGCATATTTTCACCTTGTGAGATGAAGATGAGTTGTGGGTAATTGCATCCTCTTCAAAATGAGCCCGGGATGGAAAATTTTTGATAAAGTATGAGGAAGTTATGCTTGGTCAAAGTTTGGTTGGCTTTTCCTAAGAAACCCTAATTTAACAACTTTTGGGTTTTGATGAATTTGGGGCATTCCTTGAGGAATCATGATCAACCCTTGATCAAATGATGAATATCAGTTCAAAATGTTGATGTTTACCAAAAATCTTGAAGTTTGACTTTATGTGGGCCACAATTGACTTTTGACCTAATATAGTTGATTTTCAGGCATCTGAGCAATTGATGAACAAACTTCTTGTGCAAGGCATAAAACTTGACATGGATGATCTTGAGAACATATTGGGACCATGGAAAGAATTTGCGACCTTTGGAGTTCCCACACCCTGATGAAAATGGAAACCCTAGTTTGAGGTACATTGCCTTATGAGACAGTTTGTCTGGTCAACTCTTGGGCATCCTTGAGGAAGTTGGGAACCTCAATGGGCATGTGTTGAATAAAATAAGAGGGAAAATTTTGGGGTACAACAGCTTCCCCTGTTCAATCTTCTTAAA